TTGAACAGAATATCCCTGCAGAGTTTTATGGTGCATGATGTGGGAACTATGACAACAGCATTATTACACTTTATAACAAATGAAACAAGAGCTTCATTTCGTACGAATCTTGACTCATCGGCCGAAGAAAATAATAACCAGGAGCGGTTGAGTCAGATGTATTAAACCTCGAGACAAGCCAAGAGGGAAGAACATGGGTATTTTGAAAGAATTCCCATTAAATGTAAACGAAAGAAGAACAAGAAAAAAATGTAAAGCAAATAAACTGTGAGCTAAATTTGTGACGTTTCGGCGTCAGTCTTTTTGGCAGCTGTCAGAAACATGAAAGAAGTTGTTTCTAAGCACAGTTCTCTTTAGCAGGCCATCTTGAGAAGGAATTTGAGCAACTTTCCTGTTCCTCATTAAGAAGCAATTTATGCCTTTGTGCTGTAGAGCAGAGATGCTTCTATTTTCTTTCTAACGGTCCTGCTGTGATCCGTTACTGAAGGGATGTGTGGAAAAGGACGCTTGCAGCTGGCTGTTTATATGATAGATTCCTGAATTTCGGTCCATCTGGTCCCTCTCAGAAATCCAGAGATAAAATTGCAAACGAGTTGTCTCCATTTTGCTGCATTAGTGGCAGCTAGGATGGAGAAACTCACAGCACAACTCCGAAATCGGAATATGGTTTGGCATTTGTGACTTAGCGTGTAAAGTTGGATCGTGAGATACACAGTTCCGCAGACCCCAAATTTCCGTTTCTGGCAGTGGCTTTGGGTGTCTAGCGATTTGCAATTCATTGTTCTTTGAAGAATGACAACCTGTGCAAAAGTAGAAATAACCCAGCTACTTTTGGAGCTAGATCCAGCAAGGGCAGAGTGAAGCAGTGCCCGCTGTTTTGAAGAATCACAATCGGCCAAACCCGGAGAAGAAATGATTTCGCAAAACCTAGAGGACGTTTCCATCTTTCAGCCTTTGTCCTAAGTCGGATGACGCAGTGTAGAAAATGACTCCTCCGTGATGTAAATAATGACCGTCCTTGGATATCGAAACCCAGTAAAGATAAAAGTTGGCAGAGGAGGCGTTAATGCACGCCAGGGTCGATGGCAGACCCTCCAATCTGATCCTTTAGGAAAGAACGACCCTCGACTCCATTTGGATGAAGTGAAAGATTGTTCTGGTCCAAACAAGAGATCTGCTTTAATCTTGGTTTTCTCAGACAGATAAGCTCTGAAGACGGACTAATATTCAGATTATTTATTCTTCAGGAATCTCTAAACAATCCCTTACAGTCAAGAAGAGTTCTTCTGATGAACGTGTCATAATCTCTCCCGTCTTGTGGTATAAAATATTAAAGGTAGATTTCACCCCATATTCTTCTGGAGCACTGGAACCGCATGTGTCTGTCTTACACAAAGGCTTTTACATAACACTGGGATGTAGCCTGGACATCCTGTGATAAACTTTGAAGCGCCTCCAACTGACTAGATAAAGATATAGGACTAACTAACAGCTGAACTACATTACCCAGAGGCCATCTCTTAAGGAGGCAGCGTTAACCCTTTAAATGCTAAATTCCTAAATTCTTAATTCCTAAGCTGGCTATAATCTGGTCCAGCACAAAGATTCTTTTAGTAAAAGATGTTGGCTGCTGTAAAGTCGGGTGAGCTCTGGGTTTCCCATGCTCAGAAGACACAGAAAGGTCTCCCCTCATCCCAGCCCTTCCCCTGTGACCAGTCCATCCTCAGCCTCGGAGTCCTAGTGGACAATCACCTAAATATGAGCCAGCCGTGTGCTGCAGCTGCCAAAAAGGCCAACACAGTGCTGGGCTGCATTAACAGAGGGATAGAATCAAGATCACGTGAAGTATTAATACCATTTTACAATGCCTTGGCAAGGCCACACTTGGAATACTGCATCCAGTTTTGGCCACCACGATGTAAAAAAGATGCTGAGACTCTAGAAAGAGTACAGAGAAGAGCAACAAAGATGATTAGGGGACTGGAGGCTAAAACATATAAGGAACGGCTGCTGGAATTGGGTATGTCTAGTTTAATGAAGAGAAGGACGAGGGGGGACATGATAGCAGTCTTCCAGTATCTCAGGGGCTGCCCCAAAGAAGAGGGAGTCAAGCTATTTTCCAAAGCGCCTGAAGGCAGGACAAGAAGCAACGGATGGAAACTAACCAAGGAGAGAAGCAACCTAGAACTAAGGAGAAACTTCCTGACAGTTAGAACAATTAACCAGTGGAACAACCTGCCTCCAGAAGCGCTGAAGGCTCCAACACTGGAAGTTTTTAAGAAGAGACTGGACAGCCATTTGTCTGAAATGTTAATAGGGTTTTCTGCCTGAACAGGGGGTTGGACTAGATGACCTCCAAGATCACTTCCAACTTTCTTCTTCTTCTTCTTCTTCTTCTTCTTCTTCTTCTTCTTCTTCTTCTTCTTCTTCTTCTTCTTCTTCTTCTTCTTCTTCTTCTTCTTCTTCTTCTTCTTCTTCTTCTTCTTCTTCTTCTTCTTCTTCTTCTTCTTCTTCTTCTTCTTCTTCTTCTTCTTCTTCTTCTTCTTCTTCTTCTTCTTCTTCTTATTCTTATTATTATTATTATTATTATTATTATTATTATTATTATTATTATTATTATTATTATTATTATTATTATTATTATTAGACCTGTGTTTTGAGAACGCTGAGATGTTTTGGGTTAATACACGTTCTTTCTCAGGGTGCCTGGCCTTGCATACTGCTGCAAACCAGCTTCTCTGGGTTTTATCACCTGTCATTCCCCCCTCCCTTTTTCCCTTTTTCCCATCGGGTACACCCACAGCTTCATTGCCCCTCTGTCCTTCCCTCCCCTTCTAGCCTTCGATGGCAGGATGCCCGCGAGGCGCCCAGCTGAGCCTGGCGGACCCGACAGTAAACGTTTTGAGAACCTCTGCCCATCCCTTTTTACCCGAACGTCCTTCCTTCTCTTGCAGGACATCAACGCCCATGCCTGTGTGACGGGGAAACCCATCAGCCAGGGCGGCATCCACGGCCGCATCTCTGCCACGGGCCGTGGCGTCTTTCACGGGATCGAGAACTTCATCAATGAAGCGTCGTACATGAGCCTCTTGGGGATGACTCCAGGATTTGGAGACAAGACGTTTGCTATCCAGGTAGTGGATTTGGGAGAGTCACACGGGGGGAGGAAAGGGAGCAGTGATGCCTTGAGGCACGGATAGCCTTGAGATAAGACAGTGATATCCTTAATTCTTCAGGCAGGGAAGCTCAGCTGTTGATATACATGAGCCACACAAGCTTTAAATCAGGAATATACAGTAGTGGCCAAAATTGTGGAAATCTTTTGGGAAAAGTGTACAGTAGGAATGCCACATTTCATTAAGTTTCCACCAAACTTTTTTTTCTAATTTCTTTATAACTGTAGCTTTGTTCACTTAATAATACTATTTTACATCGCTTTCTGGGCAACCGGTCAACTCTTTGCACCATGACTTTAATTTTATTATGTTTTACAAGATCACTAAATGAAAGAACACAAAAAACCCCCAACCAACTAGATAGCGATCACATAACACACTGACAAATGTCCTCCTCTCAGCTTCAATACATGACATCGATCACTGAATCCTACTGTGATCTGATTGGCTCATTGCCAAAACAAGAGGACACCCGATTGGCTCTCTAAACACTCATGCTCATTGGCTACAATCGGATGAAGGAAAGCTACCTGAGATCAACCTAAGCAAGTTGTGCTTCCTTTTTCTGGTTATTTGGCTATAAGTTTTCATAGAATACAATGCAGATAATTGAACAAACTTCATTGCATTACGTTCTTGATTAAATTATCTTTCCATTGATGTATAATTTTATGGTACTATTCCCCCCCAAAAAAGTGGTGTTATTAGCCATCAAACCTCAAAAATACACTTTTCCCAAAAGGTTTCCACAATTTTGGCCGCTGTACTTCGTGAAGCTGCTTCTAGAAAAATAGAGGTTCGCGCAAGGCTAAGTAAAAACTTATTTTCACTTTTTTTTACATAGGGATTTGGCAACGTTGGTTTGCATTCTATGAGATACCTTCATCGCTACGGAGCAAAATGTGTAGCTATTGGAGAAAAGGACGGCGCGATCTGGAATCCCGATGGACTTGACCCGAAGGAGTTGGAAGATTATAAGCTGGTAGGCCAATTGGTTTAACCGTTGTGAATTGTCCTGTTTCATTGGCTGTGAAGCTTAGCGGTCACTCTCTTAGTTGCATTCGAAGCCTTTATGAAGCAAACGAGCTTCAGATTGGAAAGACCTTATTAGATTTGCTTGAGTGAGGCAGTCAAGCTTTAGTTCTTCAAAGGAAAATAACAAAAGAGGGTGAAACTCCCAAGTAGGGTGTGGATAAAGAGGGGGAGCACACGCACAAAAATGGCCGAGGTAAACAAAATAGAAAATCATCTTCTGAAAATAAAGGGGCTGCCTAAAGCCTTGGATACAACACCTTATATATATTATCGTAGCCTCCCCTTGGACATGAGTTTTTGTGGGGGGCTTTGAAATATAGAACCTTAGTCCAGGAGTAATGTTTGAGTATGTGTAGTCTAATGAAGAGAAGGACGAGGGGGGACACGATAGCAGTCTTCCAATATCTCAGGGGCTGCCCCAAAGAAGAGGAAGTCAAGCTATTCTCCAAAGCGCCCGAGGGCAGGACAAGAAGCAACGGATGGAAACTAATCAAGGAGAGAAGCAACCTAGAACTAAGGAGAACTTTTCTGGCGGTGCGAACAATTAATCTGTGGAACAGCTTGCCTCCAGAAGTTGTGGGTGCTCCAGCACGGGAGGCTTTTAAGAAGAGACTGGATAGCCATTGGCCTGAAATGGGTACTACAGGGTCTTCTGCTTGAGCAGGAGGTTGGATTAGAACAGGGGTCTCCAACCTTTCTGGGTTGGCGGCCCGGTGGGAAAGGGAGAGGCAGGCACGTTTATGCGCGCGTGCACACAGACGCAATGGTGGCTGCACGTGTGTGCACGTGAATGAAGCCGCGAGCACGTGTGCTTCGCAAATGGGGCTGCCAGCATGAGGCTCGAGGCTCGTAGCGAGGCTAACGGTGCAACGGGGGTGGGGTGAGCACATGCATGTGGCGTGCCCTGGCCAGCACAGGCCCTGGCCCGGTAGTGGACCACAGCCCTTAGTTTGGGGACCTCTGGATTAGGTCCTTTCCAACTCTGTTATTCTGTTCTGTGAAGACATTAAAGCAGTGGTGGCGAACCTGTGGCGCGCGTGCCAGAGGTGGCACTCAGAGCCCTCTCTGTGGGCACGCGCGCCCATGCCCCAGAGATGGCAACTGTTCCTCTTCAACCAGCCGCCTGCTAACTCATCGAGGTTCCACGTGGCTGGATGCAACCCGGCACGGCTGGTTTACTTCTCCCCCTGGTCCCGTCCCTCCTGGCCTCGCATGCTCTCCTTTTCCCTGGCACGACCCACTGCATCGCCTCCTCAGCTGTCGGCCGGTCATCCAGATCAGAGGCGGCTTCTCTGAACTGCTGGCAGCGGGCTACAGAGCCCCAGAGTGCGCCGGTCGAGGGGCCGGCAGGCTGTGGCTGTTGACGGACACCGTCAGCCCCCCATGCGCTCGCTGGCCTCTGTGTGCGGGGGCCGATGGTGTCAGGCAGCAGCCGCCCTGCCTCACCTCACCCCGCAGGACGAGCCTCCTGCCTGCCACCGCACCTGCCAAAGACCTCCTGGATCTCCCCCAACCCTGCCCACCCCCCACAGGCGTCCCTCCCCACGAGCAACATCGAGGTGACCATGCCCACCTTGGCCACACCCACCCAATCTGCCATGACCACAGCCACACCCATCCAGTGCGCCACGCCCACCTGGCACCCAGCGATACATAAGTGGGTTTTGGGTTGCAGTTTGGGCACTCGGTCTCTAAAAGGTTCACCACCACTGCGCTCAAGCGTCGTCATCTCCATCGTGTGTCTCTCAACAGCAACACGGATCCATTCTCACCTATCCAAAAGCCCAGACTCTCGACTGCCATATTCTTGAAACCGATTGTGACATCCTCATCCCAGCGGCCAGCGAGAAACAGTTGACAAAAGCCAACGCTCAGAAAGTCAGAGCAAAAGTAAGATGGGCGGGCAAATGCGGGCTTGAGGCCGACGGCTCCAGCCAAGACTGTTCTCTGCCAAGTCCTTTTGCTGTCTCAAAGATTTCCTGGTCTTAATGGTGACACTCTCTTGGTTCTTTCCAGATCATTGCTGAAGGTGCGAATGGACCCACGACCCCTGAGGCGGATAAGATATTCTTGGAACGGAACATCATGGTTATTCCAGTAAGGTTCTTTTTGATAGTTGTTACCTGGGGGTGAAAAACAGCGTTAAGGTGCTTGATGGAGATAACTTCTGATTTTAAAAAAACAACAACAACTATTCTGCAGGGTTTTTCTTAAATGAACAGAATGGATTTTAACCTGTTTTCAGGACTGTATCTTTTAGTAGCAAATTAAGTTATCAAGGCTGTCTGCCTTTGGCTGCGTTGGATACAAAAAAAATAATCAATGTAGACGATAAAAACTGCTTTTGCTTCATCCTCAGTCATACCCTAACATAGGGTTCTCCCACCTTGGCAACTTTTTATGATTTGTGAACTTCAACTCCCAGAATTCCTCAGCCACCCATTCAGTTCTGGGAGTTGAAGTCCACAAGTCGTACAGTTGCCAAGCTTGGAGACCCCTGCGGGCTTAGCAAGTCTTTGATCTTGGTCTATAATGGGGGGGGGGTGGTGGTAGGCAACCTTGGCTCTTTTATGACTCGTGGACTTCAACTCCCAGAATTCCTGAGCCAGTCACGCTGAGGGGAAAGGGAGAGGTTTCCAAGCTGAGCCATGCTGGCTCAGGAATTCTGGGAGTTGAAGTCCACGAGTCATGAAGGGGCCATAGTTCCCCCATGCTGGCTCAGGGATTCTGGGAGTTGAAGTCCATGAGTCATGAGGTGGCCATAGTTCACCCATGCTGGCTCAGGAATTCTGGGAGTTGAAGTCCACGAGTCCTAGAAGAGCCAAGGTTGCCTACCCCGGTCTATAAGGAAGGAAGTTCTGTTGAACCCACCCCACTCTTCCTCCTTGCCATGGCTTAGTTTGGAAGCAGGAATGAATCTCCCTCAGCCATCGTCAGCCCCCATAAAGCTCCATCAGCAGAGGCAGGACCTTTGGATCTTCATGATCTCTTTGACTGACTCCCCCAAAATTCTTCAGCTAGTCTGGTAGTGGATGAGACTGAACCTTCATCTTGATTTCTGACAATTCCATCCCACGTTTCCAAGAAGCTTTTGGGGTTAGTTGGCTTAACCTAGTACAGGGGTAGGCAACCTTGGCTCTTTTATGACTTGTGGACTTCAACTCCCAGAATTCCTGAGCCAGCCACGCTGAGGGGAAAGGGAGAGGTTTCCAAGCTGAGCCATGCTGGCTCAGGAATTCTGGGAGTTGAAGTCCACGAGTCATAAAAGAGCCAAGTTTCCTATCATCTAGGCCAGGGGTAGGCCACCTTGGCTCTTTTATGACTCGTGGATGGGAAGCTCTTCAACCTGAGACTTCAAGCTATTAAAGTGAAGGAAACTCTTTCTGAGGGACCTCCTTGTTGGGGACTGTTTCCTGAATGCTGGCTCAAACCAGGGATGAATACAACCAATTGGGTGGGAGTAAAAATGGATTCCCCGAAGCTGTTAAACTGGTTCCTGGGCCGTTGAACAAGATGCAAAGGCAGTTACTTCTTCCTTTCTGCTACTCTTCGCAGAGTGATGCCTCCTTACCTTTCTTCAGTGCCTTGAATTTTTATTTACTTATTCCTTTTATCTAATACGTGCGGGCCCACCCATCTCACAAAAAGAGACAGAACAGGCATACAACAAAAGAAGTGTACAAATAAATGTCAGTCATCTAGACCCGCCCGGGATTCTGTCAACCCTGAATTCTTTTTCGTTTGAATTCTTTGCTCTTCATTTGATGTGCCTGTCAATAAGGGTGTGTCAGTTGTAGTTGTCAGTTCACCTTTAAGTCGACAGTTGTCAAGTGCAGAAAATCAGGAGTCCAGGCAGTTCAAATGAGTATATATATATAGGTTTATTTCAAGTTGAGGCTCTCTACAAGAATCTGAACTGCTGACGGTCAAGGCAAATTAAATCTACCTGCCGGTTCAGTCTAGATCAAACGATGCGTCATGCCGAATTGCCGGCAATGGAACAATGCGCATCCCATTGCCGGCAATGGAAAAAAAGTCGCGATATGTCGTGACACATCACGTGACATTGCGAGTTTGACACCCCTGATCTACAATAGTGGCCAAAATTGTGGAAACCTTTTGGGAAAAGTGTATTTTTGAGGTTTGATGGCTAATAACACCACTTTTTTGGGGGGAGTAGTACCATAAAATTATATATCAATGGGAAGATAATTTAATCAAGAATGTAATGCAACATAGTTTGTTCAATTATCTGTACTGTATTCTATGAAATGTTACAGCCAAAGAACCAGAAAAAGGAAGCACAACTTACTTAGGTTGATCTCAGGTAGCTTTCCTTCATCCGATGGTAGCCAATGAGCATGAGTATTTAGAAAGCCAATCAGGTGTCATCTTGTTTTGGCCATGAGCCAGTCAGATCACAGTAGGATTCAGTGATTGATGTCCTGTATTGAAGCTGAGAGGAGGACATTTGTCAGTGTGTTATGTGATGGCTATCAAGTCGGTTGGCTTTTTTGGTGTTCTTTCATTTCGTGATCTTGTAAAACGTAATAAAATTAAAGTCATGGTAGCAAAGAGTTGACTGGTCACCCAGAAAGCGATGTAAAACAGTATTATGAAGTGAACAAGGCTACAGTTATAAAGAAATTAGAAGAAAAAATGGTGGAAACTTAATCAAAGGTGGCATTTCTCTACTGTACACTTTTCCCACAGTTTTGGCCACTACTGTAGATCATTCCTAACCTGAACTGGCCTACTTATTTTTCATCTCCTCACTTCTCCTTTCCACAGGACCTTTATTTAAACGCCGGTGGTGTGACTGTATCTTACTTTGAGTGGTTGAAGAACCTGAACCACGTCAGCTACGGCCGCTTGACCTTCAAGTACGAAAGGGACTCAAACTACCATCTACTAAGTACGTGGAATGGGTTCTGCCCTTCGTATACCAGCCTTGGCCCACTTGGTGGGCATGTTCTGAGCTGCTTGATCTCTTTCGGAGGCGCACCAGGCCTGGTGGCTTTAATTGGTTTAGGCTGGAAATCATAGCGGTGGGTTTTTTTGGCATTGCGTTGCTGAATGTTTTGGGCAGATTAATGGCATACAGGGAAATTCCTGCCTTTGAGAGGAAGCAGATCCACCTTGGCAGTGCATTAAAGAAGGAAATTTATTCTACTGAGAAGAACCGTCTTTTGATCATCCTTGGCCAGGAGTTTTAACCGGCGGTTTTCCTTTCTTTCAGTGTCAGTTCAGGAAAGCTTGGAAAGGAAGTTTGGGAAACACGGGGGAAGTATTCCGGTTGTGCCCACTGCAGAATTCCAGGATAGAATATCTGTAAGTAGCTCTTGGAAACATTTAATTTCATTAAATAGGTAGGTCTAAGCAAACTCTGCAGAGAAATCTGAAGAAATAAGCTAAAATGCTGCACTTCAAGTCCGTTGAAGGCTGACGTCAGCTTTGGCTCAGCTCGTATTTATAAACGCCAACAATAAATGGACTGATAAAAAGAGTTTCAAACACAGGTTGTCCTCGAATTACAACCACGATTGGGTCCAAGATTTCTGTGGGCCAGCAAGACTAGATATTAAGTGAATTCTGCCCCATTTGACCACCTCCCTTGCCACGGTTATTAAGTAAATCACTGCAGTTGTTTAGGGAGTAAAACGCTTGTTAAGTGAATTTGGCTCCTCCGTTGAATTTGCTTGTTGAAGAGTCACCAAAGGGAATCCCAGGACACTGCAACGGTCATAAATACGAGTCAGTTGCCAGGCGTCTGAATTTTGATCACGTGACCATGAGGGGGTGGGCGCGCTTCGATGGTCGTAAGTGTGAAAAACGACCGCAAGTCACTTTTGCAGTACTGTTGTAACTTTGAACAGTCACTAAACAAATGGTCGTTAAATAGAGGACTACCCGTGTTACAGTTCTGAAATCAGAACTGATGGTCCCAAGTGAAGTCTAAACTTGATATCGTTAGAATATTGTGCATTAATTCCTGTACGCAATACCGTGTTTCCCCAAAAGTAAGACCTACCTTGAAAAGATTTTTGGGGGTGTGCCTAATATAAGCCCTACCACAAAAATACGCCCTAGTTTGGGGGCAAAGCACATGTCTAAACATCAAGCTAGGATGGGGATGTTATGGTTCCGGCTAATGAAACACTTCAAAGAACTTCCAGGCATTGATTTTCCTAAAAGTAATTTATTGTTACAAAATGTCAGCACAGGCATAACGAAAGTGGATGCTAAGGTCTGAAATTCTCTTCCCCTGAGCAATTAATTTACCAGCATGTTCCCTCCCTAAATTTGCTGTTATATCTCACGGTTCTCCTATCAGCTGGAAGGGCAGAGGTTCTCTTCCGTTGTCTTCCCGCCCGCAGTCCTATCGTTCTCCTCCCCCCCCATCATCTGAATTAACTTTAAAAATACCAGACAGTTCTGCATATTTTGTCAAAGCAAGAATATACAGTATTTGCAGCATTGACAGGGGATTGGGGGGTGGAGTTGCCCCATACGCCCTACACCCACTTACCGTTGCAGCCAAGCCTCTCCTCGCTGGCCCACTTCTTCTGCGGCGTCCCCAGGTCTGTATTTCTCAGTCACGGGCCTTTTCGGAAGGCCACTGCAGCCGACAACCGAGTGATGGATTGAAGGCTTGCATAGGCCTTCCGGACAGGCCTGACTGCAAAATTGCAGGCCGGCATGCAGCTGCAGAATGAAGCAGCTCCTTCGGCCGCAGAAGAAGTGGGCCGGCTGGGTGGCGCTGTTGGTGTCAGGGGTGAGTGGAAAAGACACCGCTCAAAAATAAGACCTGGTGTCTCTTTTGGAGGCCAAAAACCAAATGTCATGGTTCCGACATGCAACTCTTCAAAGAACTTCGAGGCATTGTTTATCTTTTATTAGAGCAGCATAATATCGGCACTTCATAATCGAAGCCAAAAACTGGATTCCCCTCCCCTGAGCACATAGTATCAAAGCACAATTCCCTCCAGTTGACAGTCATAAATCACATTCCCCAATTAGCTTGAAATGCAGGCTTTCCCTCCAGTTCTCCAGCCCACCAATTCTTATCATCTCTTATTTCATTAACCTTGATTCACACACTAGGTCCAGTATTGCTATGTCTATCTAAACTCTCGTGCACAATCCTCCCCTCCCCTAGCATCATCTAACTCTAAAAGTAAAACATAAGAAGAAAATGGTTGCATCTCCTAACTGTTGTCAAAGCCAAAACATCCGATGTGAGCAGCGTTGACACCAAAAAACCAAGACCGGGACTTTTTTTCCGGGAAACACAGCATGTACGTTTCACATGATTTTTTATTTTTTTTTAGTTTGGCGGGTATATAAACCTCTACCAACCCTGGTTTTTGACCCGATGTTCAAGTAAACTTTCAATTCACCAATTTCCATTAAAAGGCTGTGCCTAGAAATGACATTACAAGAGGGGGGGGTTGACCCCCTCAAGCCAAGCCAGCCTCTTGCTGGTGATTTTAGACTGGGCTTTTGATGGCTGTTCTTTTCCTCACAGGGCGCCTCGGAGAAAGACATCGTGCATTCGGGCTTGGCCTACACCATGGAGCGATCCGCACGGGTAGGTATTGGAACATTAAATGCCACGGATGGTCATCAGAGCCCCCATTGGGATATTTCTATCCTTAATTGTCCCTTATTTTCGTGCAGTTTCACAACTAGAGTTTTGAATTCCCCCGTTTTTTTAAATAAAAATATGGATAGACCTTTGAACAAGAGCATAACGGGTAACCCTCTAAATCAGGGGTTCCCAACCCCCGGTCTATGGACCAGTACCGGGCCGTGGCACACCAGCAACCGGTCCGCACAAATAAGCAAAACCCCATCCGCGGGATGCAGGCAGCACACAAAACCACACCACCCTCCGTTCCGTGGAAAAACCTCTCTCCACGGAACCGGTTCCTGGTGCCCCAAAGGCTGAGGACCTCTGCTCTAAATAATCCTCAGTAAGAGCTTCTACTCTCTGAACCTGGTTTGTTTTAGCTGAAGCTAATAGCAGTTGGAATCCAGTAGTATTCCCAGGTGCATCGTTTCTCCAGGTTTGATTTACAGGTTTGCAGGTCACCCCAAAAATAAACACGAAGGCAAAACATTCATGAGTATTCAGTGGTTCCCCACGAGGATTTTGAAAAGTGTAGCGAAGGCCTTTGGAGTCCTAACTCTGCCATTTTTAATGTCCCGCAGCAAATCATGCGTACCGCCATGAAGTACAATCTCGGCCTGGACCTGAGAACAGCTGCCTACGTCAACGCGATCGAGAAGGTCTTCAAAGTCTACAACGAAGCCGGTCTGACCTTCACATAAACGGCTCCTCGGTCTCAGCCTGACACCCCCCGTGTTCTGAGTCCCGTTGGGAAAAAAAAAAAAAGCTTACGAGAAGTNAAAAATTGGTTAGAGGCGGGCCTTGAATCAGGATTGGATTGTTCCCGTAGCTGCCTTGAAGGTCTCGACATGGTCTTTCTGTCCAGATGAATTCTATAAAGTGCCAGATTTATTTGTCTAATCAGTTAGGATGTTTTTAAAATACACCCCAGCCTCTCCTGGAAATTCGTGCTTTTTTTTTTTTCTAGCTCCTTTATAAATTCATGACATAACATGGCAACGAAAGCAATTATTAAAAGTTGACATTTTGAAACATACTCTGGTTTGTGTGTTTACTACTTTGCGTAAATGGAGACGGGCTGGGATCTTGACTGTAAAGGCTCCAGTTCCCACACCATTCCTGTTGACATAGGCCCAGAATTTTTCAGTCATTCCTGGAAATTACATACATATAAGTATGTTAAATTTAAATTTGTGGACAAAGGGTTAAAGGGAGACTAGTATAGCTGTTTTGATCTACTTAGCTCTCATCAGCTAGCCATACCCTTCTGAGATTCGAACCCGGGGCCACTTGCATGTTGGGCAGATGTATTAACCTCTAGGAATCTCAGAAGGGTATGGCTAGCTGATGAGAGCTAAGTACATCAAAATAGCTATACTAGTCTCTCTTTAACTCTTAGTCAACAAATCTGTTGACAATCTATTATGTTCTATTCTATTGCATTCTATTCTATTCCACTCTTCTATTCCACTCCATTCCATTTTATTCTTCTATTGTATTGTATTGCATTGCCTTGTATTCTATTCTGCAATTTGCATTCTATTCTATTCTAATTGCATTCTATTGCATTCTATTCTATTCCACTCCACTCCATTTTATTCTTTATTCTTCTATTGTATTGCATTGTATTCTATTCTGCAATTTGCGTTACGTTCTATTCTATTGCATTCCACTCCACTCCATTTTATTCTTTATTCTTCTATTGTATTGTATTGCATTGTATTCTATTCTGCAATTTGCGTTCTATTCTATTCTATTCTATTCTATTCTATTCTATTCTATTCTATTCTATTGCATTCTATTCTATTCCACTCCACTCCATTTTATTCTTCTATTGTATTGCATTGTATTCTATTCTGCAATTTGCGTTCTGTTCTATTCTATTCTATTCTGCATTCTATTTTCTATTCTATTGCATTCTATTCTATTGCATTCTATTCTATTCTATTGCATTCTATTCTATTCCACTCCACTCCATTTTATTCTTTATTCTTCTATTGTATTGTATTGCATTGTATTCTATTCTGCAATTTGCGTTCTGTTCTATTCTATTCTACTCTAAATAATCACAGAAAACAATGATCAGAAACACACTGTCACCATTCACTTTGAAATTATTTAATGTTTGATACTGCAACAAAATTTACGCAATATATAATTTAACCTTCAATGAAGGTGTGTGTAAAGTACATCTAATAGGGTAGTTATGAGAAGATAAATTTCAAAAGGAAGATCAGCCTATTTAGGTTGAAATGTTTACTTCTTTTCTTCGTTTTTCTTTTCTCCGCTCTCGCCAAAGCTTTTACCCCACGCTGTTACCTGACTTGTTACATTTTGCACTGCTTTTTCGCCAGTATCTTGTGCTGTTTTGCAGGTGTCATCAATAACTTAAAAAAAGAAAGAATGAAAGAAAGAAATTGCAAGATGGTTAACTTAAGGGTCTCTTAATATGCAAATTTGCCTCCCTGGGAATACAGCAAAATTGACATTTCTTGAAGTCTTGTCGTAAATTATCTGAAGTCTCTTCAGACTACTGTAGATGCCCAGAGCCTTTTCCTTTATATTATATTATAATCTGAGCCAAACGATGTAATCTTAGATGCTTCTGATAATTCTTAAGCTTCAAAGATCAACCTGATCCAATTCAGTTAACAAATCATGAGACTTATCAAGAGATACCATCCCATTCAGCCCTTAGCAGAACACACCCTCACGACAGAATTTGGCATTTCACGTATAACTCTGATCTGTTCAAAATGAGTTTTTAAAAAAGTCCTAAACAAGGCCATGGTTTTCCCAGTTGCAATGTATGGCAGTGAAAGTTGGACCATAAGAAAGGCTGAGTGCCAAAGAATGAAGGCCTTTGAACTATGGTGCTGGAGAAGACTCCTGCGAGTCCCCTGGACTGCAAGGCCATCAAACCGGTCAGTCCTAGAGGAGATCAACCCTGACTGCTCTTTAGAAGGCCAGATCCTGAAGTTGAAACTCAAGTACTTTGGCCACCTAATGAGAAGGAAGGACTCACTGGAGAAGAGCCTAATGCTGGGAAAGATTGAGGGCAACAGAAGAAGGGGACGGCAGAGAAGGAGGTGGCTGGATGGAGTCACTGAAGCAGTAGGCGTGAGCTTAAATGGACTCCAGAAGATGGTAGAGGACAGGAAAGCCTGGAGGAACGTTGTCCATGGGGTTGCGATGGGTCGGACATGACTTTGCAACTAACAACAAAATAATTAAACACTGACCAGACCAAACCAATTTGTCAATTGTTCAATTTCTCTACCTTTTGAAAATATACAACACCTATCATGGCTTAATTTTATTATCTATCATTTCTCAATTCTTTCAGCCTTGAACTCTTACTTCCTCCCTATTCATCATCAAGTAATCTTCCATTGTCTCTGAGTGTTGATGGTTTCTAGGATAATTTACAAACTTGACGCTCCTCCTGGCCTGCCCCCAAGAGAAATAAAAATTAAGACCACCATTAATCAAGTAACCCTGCCATTATAACCTATCTCATTTTCTATTTCTCTTAACCAAACCTGAATCTGCTTAGCTTTTTGAGATCGACCAAGATCAACTGATGACAGGAGGAGCATAGTATAAAAATCTGCGTAATAAAGTGCATTTGATTTTTTTTTTTGAAAGCATTGATTCTGTACTTCAAGAACAGAATTTCTTGAAGATCTTTCTGTTCTTTGGTGTAGGCTATAATAATAATAAAGTTGGAAGGGACCTTGGAGGTCATCTAGTCCAAGCCCCTGCTCAGGAATGAAACCCTATAACATTTCGGACAAATGGCTGTCCAGTCTCTTCTTAAAAACTTCCAGCGTTGGAGCATTCACTGCTTCTGGAGGCAGGTTGTTCCACTGGTTAATTGTTCTAACTGTCAGGAAGTTTCT